ACAATGGAAGAAAGAAAGCATCTTCAACAAATGGTGCTGGCACAACTGGATGTCAACCTGTAGAAGATTGAAATTTGACCCATATCTATCACCTTGCACAAAACTCAAGTCCAAATGGATCAAAGACCTCAATATCAGTCCGAACACACTGAACCTGATAGAAGAGAAAGTGGGAAGTACCCTACAACAGATGGGCACAGGAGATCGCTTCTTGAGACAAAAATATTCTTATGTGAAATTTGTGACTGTCATCCCAAACTTATACACTGAAACCCTACTCCATCCCAGTGCCATAGTATATAACTTCATTTGGAGCTCAACGGTTTTTTTAAGAAATAAATTTAAAATGGGATCATTATAGTTATCATGATTTCCATGTAACTAGGTAACTAATAGTAAAAATAAACACAGCATAGACACAAATACAGGAAGTTTGTGTGAAAACATGACAAAGAATATGTCACCAAACCAGGTGACCTAGATACCTAGGATACTTTTATCCCTCACCATCCTCCAAAGAAATCACAATGATGTGAAGACCTATATTGTGAAACTTTATCCTTCCAAACTATGAGAAATTAATCTCTGTGATGGCATCTAAATTATTCCATGATTTTATGGAAGATTTAATTCACTATTAAACTAGATAAAATAGAATAAAAACTAATGAACAAATAATATACAGTAGATCCTATACTCTGAAGTCCTATGATGCAAAAATAGATTTTTCACAGAAGATAAAATGGTCAATGAGAAAAATATTTTTTTCTACCTCAAAAACTCAAGTTATCTCTTTATGGTAAAGAGAAAGACCTCAAAAAGAATAAAACATTTGTATGAGTAAAAGATGTTGCCAAGAAAGTCTTGTTTTTACACACCTAACTGCTTTTACAGATCTCTCTTGTGGATTATAAATTTACCAGGCTCTTTCTCTGGGCCCAGACTTCTGGAAGATATCAGTATTTGCAGGATAACTGAAGATAAACAGAACGGAGCATGGTTCTTTTAATATGTTGTCTTCTTAGGAAAGAAAACAACTAGGTATTTATAGGTGATGTATAGTCATATATATTGGCGATGAGGTTATGTAAATAGACCTTTGAAAGTGAGAGGATTTAACACACAACATGTTTCTATGAAGACACATATGTGTATTATCTTCTAATTGAAAATGAGTGAGGGAGAGTTTGATATGTTGGCAGGAAGGTGTGTCTCAATTTGCTTTTGACAGAGTCCTTAAAAATATCCTGGCATGCCATATTTTCTTACTTTCTTTTTTCTTTCTGAGGTACTAGCATACTGCATGATCATCTGTAGCGGTAAATGTACTAGATGTGCACTCACTTCTACAACTTTAAGATAATAACATACTAGATAGCTTTTCTTTGCATCAATAAATTGATTTAATAATATTTGAAGCCCTCAAAACCAAACAAAAGAAAAAAAATCATTCCTTCTTTAAAAAAATCCTACATCTCCTTCCTTTCTTTCTCTCTGATGTGGTTTCAGTAGCCACCCCCATTATCTTTGCACAAACACTTCAGTAACTCTGTGCTGGACTTCCCATACTAACTTCACAGAAGACCAAACCTCTTAAATACCTACTGCCTCTCGTATTTCCACACTTGATCCAAGCTCACATCTCCCGAAGCTATAACTGAAACAAATAATTATTTGAGGCAGGGTCTTATTAGGTATCTTTGAAACTCACTAGGCAGATAAAACTGCCCTTGCACTTATAGAGATCAACCTGCATATGCCTCCTGACTATTGACATTAAAAGTGTGTGTTACTATGTCTAACTGACTCCACATATAAGTTGTGATATACATTTATGGATACATTATTTTTTACCCAGTGAAATTTTTAACTGAACTGCTCTTCGGGCTGATGAGGGAAGGGGACTTGATTGGGGGAGGGGGAGGGATGTGGAAGGCGGTGGAAGAGGGGAGGCAGAAATCTTTAATAAATTAATAAATAAAAAATAATCAAGTTTTGAACTTCAATAGCTATTAGTTAGACAGACAGACAGGCAAGCAGACAGAGAGACACACACACAGCCACCCTAATAATGTGATAATGTTTCATTTATTTTAACCACCAAGTGATTAAAATTAATTATGACATAGATACTAGAAATGTCCTAATAGATTTTCATGTTTTATTGTTTTAGGTACTGTGGCTATAGACTTGCAAGACACAAGTTGTAGGGCAGCAAGTGGCCCTACCCTGGCTCTTCCTTCAGAAGGAAGCAAAGAATTAAGAAGACCTAGTATTGCTCCTGTTTTAGAGGTTGCAGATTCATCATCAATTCAAACATGTGATCTTTTAAGTGACCAATCAGAAGATGAAACTACACCAGATGAAGAAACCTCTTCAAATTTAGAGTAGGTTTGATTTTCTAAGTTTTTGTTTGTCTGCTTTTGTTTTTGCTAGCATGTTTTAGTTTAATTTTTGGAGAATATCCTACATGGAAACATTATTCCCATTTTAACTTTCACCCTCCATCTCCTTCAGTATATTCCCACTTCCCCGTCAACATCATGACCTCTTCATTAATAATTATTTTTACATATATAAACATGTATATATAAAAGCATTCTGCGGAGTCTACTTGGTGTTGTTTATGTAGTCATGTGTTTAGTGTTGACCACTTTGGTTTGGATACTTTGGATTGAGCCATACCACATGGCTCATCCTTGGAGAAACTCATTCTCATGTCATTAATTGCCTATAGTTTCTTATCAAGGGATAAACTTTAAAATGAAAGAAGGAATACTATTTTTTTCCTTCTGGGTGATCTAGAATCATTGCTCCATAGTTCTACTGAAATAGTTCTCTATTAATCATTTTCTCACCACAGAGTATTATAAGACATTGATTTGCTACCTTCAATGTACACCTCCAGCCCTATTTTTCCTAAATTATCTTTAACTTAATATAAAAATATACAATTTTGTTTGCGAGTAATATAAGTTGCATTTTCAAAGTTGTATTTTATTCTACTGCACTTCTATCTTTAATTTCTTTTATTCACATCCATTTTGAAGTTTACATTAGTGATTTACTCACTATTGTGACAAAATCAAAAGTAACCTAAGTACAGAAAGGTCTATTTTGGGTCATAGTTTGAGATTACATTTGATCATGACAGAGACGGCCTGGTGACAACAGATGGCTGTTCACATGGTGCACTCAGGAGCAGAGATAGGTGGAATGCTGGTGCCCAACTGACGTTCTCCTTTTTGTTGAGTGTAGGAACTCAGCCCCTGAGATAATACTGCCTACATTCCCAGTGCGTCTGGCCATATCAGTTAAACTTCTTTGGAATCATGTTCACCTATAAATATATTTTCTAGGTGATTTTAAAGTCTGTCAGGTTCACAAGCAAGATTAACCATCATTAAGTTTATCAAATGACATATTAACATGAAATGTTTTTCTCATTTCACCATTTAGAATTCCTTTTATATTTGGAGGCTAGAAATAATTTCAATTTACAAATGAAAGACATATTCTTCGTACATTAAGCTTCCATTCTCTTACAGTATCTGCCTGTATAGAAGTCGGCGTATTTAAGCCTGTCATACATGTTAACCCCTGCTCTTCTCTGCATTATGTTATCATTGGAAAGCTGAAAGAACAGTGGTCTACAATATTGACCTGCTATCTCAAAGGATTTATTCCATCCCAGTTTTGTCTTATGATGCTTGTTTGCAAATTAGCAGTCTGACTTCAATTTATTTGTAAATCATGTTTGTTGCCACCTCCTGGCGTTATATAACCCTAATTGAAGCAATCGAGAAAAGTGCTCCTGTAATGTTTTGTGCTGAGTAACTAATGGCATTAGTCACTACAAGTGTTGTCACTGTGACGAGGTGTACCAGGACAGTCATCGCCGACCATGTATGTCTCGGTTGCACAGTTGCGGTCATAAAAAATCATTTCATGCTTTGTTGAACTGAACATGAGCTGTCTTTGAAACTCAGAAAAATAAACTTGAAATTCATCCACAATTTCTATTTGTTTCATACAATGTCAATATACATGAAGACAAAGTCTTGTCTCAAAGTATTCTGTGGTCTAAATGCTCAAGTATGTTTGGAGAATATAGGATGGAAAACCAGCAGACTGGGCACCATCCCTGCCGGCAACCATTTTTACGGGAAATGTTTTAAACTGTGAATCAAATACTTTTTCTTAGATTTCTAGATCATGGAGAGGTAAAAGAACTGTTTTATAAGAAAATCAAAGAGATATGAAAGTAACAGTGATGACTGCAGCTTCTAAATTTACAAAATGTGCACAATTTAATGTGCGCAAAAAAAAAAAAAAACAGCATCTACAAAGTACTATCAACAAGGCCTTAACTTTATAACACAGGAAATGTTACCAAACATCAAGAGCCTCCCTTTTGAATGAGAAAAATGTTGCTTCAAGTAATTTTCTTTTATTTGCTAATTAACTTTTATGCTTCTGCCCTTTAGAAGTTCCATGTTCTACACTGGTGTAGCCAAAATGTGCAGGTGGCTGATTTTAAAAGTCAGTAAACAAACTAAATGTCTCTGATAATATTTTAAGAACAATTCCAGGAAACCCCCTGTTTTTCACTAATTAACTTACTTTTCCTCCTTTAGTTATGTGTGCATGGCTAATGAATATCGATACAGCAAAACATTATAATGCAGTCTGCCTTAAGTACACTTTGTAAGGCATAACATTGCTATTTGTTATGGATACATGCTTATGTCTTCAAGAACAATGATTGAGAAATGTTTTCTAAGAGGAAATGACTATTATGTATCTATGTTTCTTGTTGCAGTTGCTCATTTCTCTAGCTGAATCAAACACAAATACCCCATTATTCAGGTCAACCTGAGTGTTAATGCCTGTGGTCCCTGATGCTGGTTTCATTGAACAACGATATCTGTGGTTCGTTGCTGCTGATCTCAGTAACCAACAAGGGCTGTGGTTCATTGATGCAGATTTCATTAGTGGAGAATTCAAACCATATAATTTTTACATGACAGAAAATACTTTCTCAACTATTTAAAAATATATATCACAAAACTTTATATTGAGTCATATTTAATCATAATTTACTTCACATTTTGAAGATCATGTGATTTTCTTAATAAGCTAGAAGCATAGGCTTCAAATTCTAATGTAATCAAACAGAAGATCAGGGTCATATCTGAGGGTTCCAGTTCTCCATGAATTCTCCAGGAATAACATCTCATATTCCTTTCCAGATATGCCAAGGGCTACCCACCTTACTCTCCATACATAGGAAGTTCACCTACTTTTTGTCACCTGCTTCAAGAAAAAGTGCCCTTCTGCTGCTTAAGATTAGACAAGGTAATGGTGACTTGTTGGTGCTATTCTCTCCAAAAATAAAATTATACCATGAGCTATTGAACACATTTAAATACATTTATACAACTTGTCCAAAATACTTTATTGAAAGAATAAATATGATAAAGTGTATTACGTATAAACATGATAAATACTTAAAAACAAAAAGTACATTACATATAATCATGATATCATAAAATGGTTAATTTTGCTTTTATCCTCACACACAACTTTATCCATCTATTTAAGTAGCCAACTTGTGTTAGTTTTTTAAAGGAAAGACAGAGGCACAAAGCTGTTAAATTACTTTTGGTTATTATTTAGTTACAATTTGTGTTTGGTAGCATATTAAATCTATATTTTTTTAAAAAAAATCTCTTGATTAAATGAGACAAGTACATTTATGACTAGGTGGAAGCTAATATATGTGTCTTGCCTCATATCTCATTCCCACATTTTTCATATAGTTCTCTCTTCCTGCTTGAAGGCTTTAAAGAATTTACTCAAACAGAACAGTCTGAGAATGTGATCATTTTTGTCTTTTTCTTTGATTTTGTCCTCCTGAGTAATGAGGAAAAGGCTAAAGTGAAACATTATATACCTTAAAGAGATTCAAGCATACCTTGACTCCTAATCAGGGATTTTTTCATTTATTCTTTATTTTGGTTAAAATTATAATTGCAGCACCCTTTCATGTTCTGGACAACTTAAGAAAACCACAATGACATGCAGCTTTCTTATCTGTAAAATGAACATAATTTTAATGCTATAGTGTTCTTAGAAGGGTTATGTTAGTCATTAAATTTAATTTAAGATAGTTAATTATTGAATTATGTTTCAATTCATTTTGTTAATATGCTTACTGTTTTCTCAGTTATAAATGTTGTCTGTTGCTACTCTTGAAGAAGACTGAAAGAATATTTGTGAGCTCTAAACTTCATCTACTTTTGGCCAGTGCTTTTTTTCTCTTTCCCATAAGTATTCCATGTAGCTCCATTTCATTGGGAATTCTGTTTCTCAGGCCCTTAGTATTTTTGATGTCCTCTTTTTTAACTTTGATTTTTGAAGCATTTGCTGTTACTGGTTATCTCTGTTGTGTTTTGCTAAATAAGACTTCTTCCATGGCTACAGTTTTCTAAGTCATGTTCAAATATAGTACTTTTGATGTTTTCCTTCAAGTAGATTCTTTACATATATCTTAGGTACCTTGATGCCTGAAATATAATATATGTATATATATGTATATATATGTGTGTATATATGTGTGTATATATATATATGGGAAGCATCAGAAAACCAAAAGAGTAAACGTAAATTATCTTCAAGCAACTAATCTAATTCTCATTATAAGACTCAGCTCTCAAAAGAGAAGATTATTGTCCCAGTAGAGGACCTTTAAAAGCAGTATACTAATGGCCTTTTGCTACATTAATAAAGGAAAATATGTAGTTTTATTGATTCGTGGCTATAGAGGAGATTATTTTGCTGTTTTATAAACTGGTATATAGGGTATGCTCCGAAAATGGAAGTTTACTTTGGGATTATGGGGTGGCAGTAATCAGTTGGCTCCACTGTGTCTGTGAAGTGGGTGAATTGGGATGGCATTATCATTCTGTCCCCGTGCCAAGGTGTTTCAACACTACCTTCGCATTGTCTCTTTGGATTTTCTTAATGACTGTGTCCCTTCCATGTCTTCATGAGCTGTAAAGTTCTATTACCTTGTGATATTTTGTGGGTGTTGCAGTTCTAACCTTTCTAAGCCTTCACTCATCAGTATTCTTCAACCTCTTTCTTGGTGACCTTATCTATTTCTTTATATGGCTGTAGATTCTGAATATCAGAACTATAAAAATCTCTACCTTGTTGCTTCTCTTCTTTACTATTCTCTTAGATATTTCTCCCCTACTTACTAGATCATTTTCATACAGCCTTATTTTCAACGTTTGGAATTTCTGGTGGTTGAAATTTTTTTTTCATTATGTCTTGCCTCGGATTCCTTTCATCTTTATTCTGGAGGGATGGTGTGCTTGGTGTCTACTTTTGCAATAGCTTCTTTCTTCAATGCCTCTATCCTTCTGACTACTATAAATATCCATCATTCTTATTGTTATCTTTTGTAGTTAGTCACTCTTTTTTCATGAATGATTAATGTCCCATAGTCTTGGCTAGCCTATGCTTTCATAATAATGTGTGGGAATATGTGACTTTGTTTATTCATTTGTATTAGCATTCACTGATTCTTTGAGGCTTTGTGGTTTGTTCTGTCTAGAAAATTCTCAGTCAATGTTTATTTGAATAAGGTTTCTTTTTGACTGTGATTTCTATTTCAGCTTGGAGCTTTTATTTTTGCTTTGTATTTGCATTTGGGTTGTTATTTCATCTCTGTTCTGTAGTTGATTTCTTCAACTACATTAAATAAGTTATTTAATTTTTTTTCACTATTGGAAATTGAGCTTGGTGTTTCACCCATACTCAGAATGTGATTTACCACTGACCTGTATCTTCAACTCTGAATTAGCTTTTGATTTATATTGTTCAACTTGAGAGAATATATAAAAATAAATATAATATATTTAAATAACTCTTTTGAATATTAAATAGGATTTTGTTAATTCTTTAAGTGCCTTTTTCTTATTTCTTTAAACATATTCCACAATATTTTGTGACTCTTGTAGCATCAAAATTTGTAGTCTTTATAGATATAATTGTTTTCTTATTTTTATTCACACATGGTGCTTCATTTCCACCATATAAAAAACAATTTTATTAAAGACTAATGGAATGGATACTTTATAGGTAAGGAACACACAGAGAAGTAAATAATATGGACTCAGATAAATGAAAAGTTTATGTAGAGACATTATAACAATAAAGAAAAATCCATTAATAAACCGATAATTTAGATTGAAAATTGTCTTGATTTAGCAATGTTAATTAATTTCTTCTGAGTCTAACTTTTTAGAAATTAAATTAGTTTTCTAGTAATTTTGTGCTCACTTCAGCTCTGTAGTGAGTTCTGATCAAGTGTTGTGCTTTGCTTTGTGTGTATTGCTTTTTACACTTTAACCCAGGTATGGACTTAAAAAGTTCAGTTTTCTTCTTTTCTAGTTTTTCTGTGTTATTTTCTTTTTTATTTGATAACTTTAAGTAGCTAGTAACGGGACTATCCCTGAGGCTTTTTAGCATCAAGATATATTCAAAATGGGAGTCACATGTCATTGCTTAGTGACTGTACTGAAGCAACTTTTAGCTCACAGTGCGAGTAGGACACACCTCGTCCACTTCCAGCATCAGGTGTATCCTACTTCTCATCTTCATTATTTATCACTGTTTGCCCACATCAAGATGGAGAACTCGGTAAAGACAAATGTAACTGTGCTCCAATCTGATAGAGAACTATTCAGATACATTTTACATAAACATATATCCTAAATTCTTTGACCCCATTTTAGTGGAGTGTAAAAATGGCATTTCTTTGTATGATTTTTCTCCCCTAGAGCTGCCAGCATAACTACTATGAGGACGCAAAAGCCTACGGATTCAAAAATAAACTAATTATAGTTGCAGCTGAAACAGCTGGAAATGGATTATATAATTTTATTGTACCTCTCAGGGCATATTATAGACCAAAGAAAGAATTAAATCCCATAGTTCTGCTATTGGATAACCCGTAAGTATATTTTAAGATACACAGACAGAGATTTTAATTTTACTGTACATTAAAATAATTTACTTAAATTAACTGATACTACTTTAAATCAGATACATTATGGTACAGAATTCATTGGGAGATAGAGTATATGCTATGATGGAAAACATTATTGATTATAGTAATGTTTCATCAATACTAGTCAAATATCATTGAGTTGGAGACTTTTATTTGAAATTAATATGCAAATGGTCATATACTCATCGTACCAGTTGAAAGTAGCCGCTGAAATATCTTTCGCAAATTTCTTCAATTTAATCAACAGGCATGGAAGACACCTGCCAAAATTGTACAGTTTTGTTCTTTATCCATAAATTGTCAGAAGAGCATTTATTGATCTACCTTTATATGTCATAGCTTAGAATGTCACTGTGTATTTTACTTATGATGATGTTCATATATGATAACAAAAAAAAAACAGTTGTGCAGCATCACCTCTGTATGTCTGGAAACTTTTTGATTGGATTACTTTTTAAAATATGACTACTTAAGCATTTAGAAAATCCTACAGATGAATACATAGGTCCCTGAATGAAATGGTCAAAATGATTTTATTTTAAATTTACACTGCCCTTCACTGTAAGTGTAAACAAATTGGTTGTCATGAGCACAGTGTTAGAAGATATCAGGAGCTTGACAATCAGTGTATAGTATGGCCATAACAATAAAAAGATTGTCAAGTTCCTTCCCAGTGTTTTCAATACACTTTGAATTCCAGAGGTTCTCTTGGGAGAAGCTGCAGAGCAGCCAAGCTGTTACTATAGACACTTCTGTTAACTAAGTAAAATATTTAGTTTGGAGCTGATTTTCTATGGGATGCCCCTATAATGTGACAAACAATATGACAAATGGCTATTGCAGACTACTGTGGTATCCTCATGGTGAATGACTAGAAAGGTTAACTCAGTTAAAGCCCCCAGTTATAAAAATATAGAAGGAAGACCATCAAATGAAAGAAGTGGACTGTGTTCAGAACATCCTCTGATAGTACTAAAGCTGGACCAGTCTGTCCTTTTCCTCACATTATTTCAATATCAAATTTTGATTCCTAATATGTAACTTTTTGCTAACCACCTCTAAAAATACTCATTTTCTCCTGGAGTAATGTCCTACTTATGAAATAGAAGTATACTCCTCATTCTTAGTCTCCATTCTTATAAAGTAGTCTTAACTCATCCATTTATTCCCATTTACCTCATTATCATATGAAACATGGTTCAAAACATTCCATTCAAAATTTTATTCAAAATCTAATAAATTCCATTATATTTTGAAGAAAAAGTCACTATCATTTCTGAATCCTAGAGTATTGGTTCATTCAATAGGATTATATAGTTCTGTAATTCTTTGTATATAGCCCTATTTTCTGGATGTGGTTAATCACACAAAATGTCTGAAAGCTCCGTTAGCTGGATTACTGACAGGTTACTATTTCTCTTTAAGGTCAGTATTTCTGTGTATATATCACCTTTCAATACTCTCTTAATTGAATGAAACCATGGAGATCAGTTTAAAAAGTTGGTGGGCTTTCCCTGTATATAGTTATAATAATAGTGAATGTTAAATATTCATTACAAATCATCATACTTGATATTTGTGTTTTATTTTATATAATCATAATACATAGAAATCATTGCTCCAGAGAAATGTACTCAGGAAGTTAGCAGTCTTAATGCTTGCATTTAATTTAAACATTTGAATAAACTTTTGTTATGGATGGTATGAAGCAGAGCTGAAGGTGTAATGACATCCAGATAATGTTCCCAAGGTCAATTTTAGAATTAGGTCCAGCTATGCAATGACTAATTCATTGTTCTTTCCTCTGTATCTTACCTAAGGTAAGATTTAGTTACAAATGTATAGACAATATGTATTGTTTTCAGTTAGTTTTATAGACAACAATCTAGCCTAAATTCCAATATTTACCCATTGAAGATATATCACCCTTACCAATTGCTGATGGTTTGGATTATAAATTTCAACATGGTGCTGTTGTTTGCTGGTTTATGCTAAGCATAATTCTATTTAAGTTTAAAGTGGTTGTTTTATTAGTATACACTATGTATTATAATTGTTTAATTTATTTACTAAATTCCAAGGACATGTTATAAAACCTTCAGCTTCCTGGGTATGTCTCAAAAGGGACATCTAACATTTTTACTTATCTTCAGCTCCTTTGAGGAAGAATGAGGAATCAAAACCTGAATTCCAATAACTAATGCTCCGGGGAGTCCCTTTTGAAACAATGAAACACCTGTTCCTCTGAAATGGCTTCTGTTCTGCAATTTGTTGTACAAATTTATATAAAACGATGCTATTCTCTTTAAAATAGATCCATATCCAATAACTTTTATAATCATGACCCTTCCTACTTTGGCAAGCATTACTTAATTTTGGGGTTTGACAAACTTTAAATGGGCAGTGGTGATGATAATATTAAGTGAATGACTGTGGAGATAAATTAATCGAAAAGACAAAATTAATTCCATATAGAAACAGATGTGTCATAAATATGAAGTATTAAAATGTTAATACTTAAAACACATAACAGTATAAAGTAGACGTTACGGAATATTTCCAAACAAAAAGACTTACACATTTCAATGTTTATCAAGCCTGGCACATTGAAAACATCTTTTCTGTGCCTCAGCAGAGCCGTGCTGATCTGTCCACAGTTCATCAGAGTGATGTCAGTTCTGATTGGGACACCATCTGTTCTCCTCTATGTTCCGTGCTAGAAAGATTTCAAATATTTTTATTATACACACTACCTTAAAGGTCACCAAGCTGAAATTTAGCTGACAATAAAAGCTGGAATATATTAAATAAAGTTAGGCAAAAATGTGCCAGAAAGCAGGAGATGGGCCAAGCTCAAAGTGGTATGGGGCGGTATTCAGGCCATGGTGACTCAGTACTCAGAAGACAGATGCAGATGGGTTTCTGTGAATTCATAACAAGTCTGGTCTACAAAGTGAGTTCCAGAACAGCCAGGGATACTCAAGGAAACCCTGTCTTCAAAAACAAAAACAAACAAACAAACATAAATGAGTGAGATGCATGCTGAATTCATTAATTTTTACACTAATCATTTTTACATCAATCTACCTCTTTGCATATAATATGTAAACATTTCAGCTTGTTTGTAAATAATTGCTAAAATACAAGATAAATAAAATACCCCCCCATCCTTTTGTTTGAGGCAGACAAAATGAGATCTAAGTTTAACCTCTAGAGCAGCCTGGATGATATTTATTCTTGTACCTCGTCCCCTTTTTTCTTTAATTTGTAAATGGTAAGAAATTTAAGTTATTCCCAGACTTAGATAATATGTGTTGCATACTAAGGCAAGATCAAATTTATGTGACAGCCCAGAAATGTTAGAATTTCTTCTCCTGTTAAAAAGTTTGACATTGATACTATTTAAGTTATTGGAAGGTCGTATATAAACCCGTGGACAAGAAAACATAGTGTGGAGACATAGTTCAATGAAAGAATGCATGCTTACCATGTGAGAGATCCCAGCTTTGAACACTAAACACACACGCATGCACGCTCACAATCATGTGCATAATGATTTTAAAGATTTGCAATTAAGCTTAAACTCTTAATTTTTTTTTTTTAATATAAGTATACGGGTGTTTTGGCTGCAAGCATCCCCGTGCATCACTTGTCTGACTGGATCGTCCAAAGCAGGGAAGAGGGGGTTTGATTCCCTGTAACTTAAGATATAGAGTTGTGAGCTGCCTTGTGGGTGCTGGGAGTCATTCAGGTGCTTGCTAGAGCAGTGTGTATTCTTATCTGCTGAGCAATCTTTATAGCCCCTGATCAAACAATTTTAAAAAATAAATCAACTACCTAAATGTATACTTGTAAAATATTGATGCGATAAGATTGGCTCATAAAAAATATATTAATTTCTTTCCTTAGAGATGAAGCAAAAATAGTGTGTATTACTTTAATTGGATAGAAAACTTGCTCTTGAGTTTTGCAAATTGGTAAAATTTATGAGCCTTTTCCCTGTCTGGCAATACTGAGCTATTTTGTGTTTTAATATACAGTGTCATTGTGAGAGATTTATGAAGATATAAGTCTTTGTATTCACAGTCAGTGTACTTAGCAGACTCTATAGATAGAGTTGTAATTACCAAGTGTACTTTTTTTTTTTTTTGGATTTTCAAGACAGGGTTTCTCCGTAGCTTTTGGTTCCTGTCGTGGAACTAGCTCTTGTAGACCAGGCTGGCCCCGAACTCACAGAGATCCACCTGCCTCTGCCTCCCGAGTGCTGGGATTAAAGGCGTGCGCTGCCCGGCTCCAAGTGTACTTTTATACTTCTACTTATTAACACTGACCTCTTTGTATATTTTTGTTATTTTATTTTATTTATAACTGGTAATTCTGTGTTTTTTTTTTTACTTTGGTCTATGAATTTATTCTGATCTGCATCAATTGACATATTTATCACTGTCTCTTAGATTAAACAAACTAAAATATTTCTTTGTGTGTAATAAGTGATTTATCTATTTTGTATAAATAATAAGTTTTACATTTTATATGTTTTTTATAAAATTTATAGATAAGTCATCTGATCCTTTCATCACATTTCTTTTTTTTCACCATGATTCTTTCATGCCATATTTAATAGACAAAATAGGATTCTCTATTTGGCAACCAGAAAAACGTCACACATTTTATTTTGTTTTATTAATAATTTTCTTGTATATTAAAGTTTTCATTGTACTTTTGGAACATGATATAAACTAGAGACAAGAAACATATTTGTGATGAATGTTCTATGTGTTTGTTTAGTTTCTCAATACTAATGCTTCTCGATGTATAATTATGCTTGCTAATTCACTGCCTCCCAATGATTAGGAAAATTCAATTATTAAGTAGCTTGGTGTTTTAAATACAGTTGTCAACTTTCAACAGTTACAAAATATATGAATGAAAAATTGTTTCTTTAAATTTCTAGTTTCTTTTACATCATAGAGGAGTCTTAAAGTTAGTGTCTTTCATCAAAAATATGTATTTGCAAAGTTTAGGGTACTTGATTTTCCCTTGTGATAGCTGAAACCACATGAAGATGCATAGTATTATCCCTATTTAAAAGCAAGTTTGAACAATTTGGAAGACTTCTGGTTTATTTAAGTACATGTTGTAAATATATCGTAAATAACATTGATGAGTTTTCTTTAAAAAGACCTCGTTTTCCCCCACAAATTTAAAGTTTGTCATCTCTTCAACCAAGGGGTGAAAAAGAAATCTATGAAGGTCTCATCTTGAATTTTATCTCTCACATGATGGCAGCCATAGCTTAAAGCCTTATTTGCCACAATGACCTGGGCACACTTTATTTCTTAGAAAAATTTACGTCTCATGTTGAATTCAATGATCTATTATGAAATAGTTCAGAAAAGCATAGACTGGAGACTCAGTGGGAAAATTTGTGCAGAGAGATAGAATAAAGAATTGATATAATCTTAACCTAAATGAATATGGCAGATTAAAGTAGGTATCATTAAGTACATGTACATATTTACAATTACCAATTAAGAATGGCACTTAAAAAAACAAAAACAAGTTATTAATGTAAAATTAGTCCAGAATGTTTTTTTTTTTTTTTTTTTTGGTTTTTCGAGACAGGGTTTCTCTGTGGCTTTGGAGCCTGTCCTGGGACTAGCTCTGTAGACCAGGCTGGTCTCGAACTCACAGAGATCCGCCTGCCTCTGCCTCCCGAGTGCTGGGATTAAAGGCGTGCGCCACCATCGCCCGGCTCAGAATGTTTTTAAGACCCAAAACATATTGATCTTTCAGTACTTTTAGTACTTGCATCTTTACATATGCTTCTAAAATTATGAAGTTTATCGAGATCCCCCAAACATTGTCTTTCTATGTTGAGAAGCAACAAAGTGTCTACAAATAGAATTGAAATCTCTATCCTAAATCCCACAAATGTATGTGTTAGAATACTGATTCAAATCATCATATTCAAGAGCTTTAAGGATGACTTAAGACTGATAATAATACCTACTCTGTGAATGCTTGGGATCTTGACAAAACTGATAATGCCCAAAAGCCATCTAAATGTGTGCATAACATGCTATATGGAAATTAAGCTAGAAATGGCTACATAAAGTGAATATGATTTATCAGTTAAATAATTCAATATTTTCAAAACTGAATTATGTAGATTAAAACAAAGTAAAAGTACCGGTGCATTCACTATTGCAAATAAATTCACTGGATGGAGAAATTCAGGCAAAATGTTAATAGTATCATCATTTGGAAAGTTTTGTTAATACATCACTGTATTGTACTTTCGTTTTCTTTAGAGTTCAAGGAAATAGGAGGGACAGTATCAGAAAGAAAACAGTTAGGAAAAGAATTGATTAAACGGGGATCAGCATCTGGGAAACAGCAAATACTCTCTCATTACCTTAACCTGGAATTTCCCTGCTCTGTTGTACTTGCCAAATCCCTACTCAGTTTTCAAAACCCAAAGTAAATATTACCTCTCTGTAATATTCTCCAGTTCTGCCACCTGTCTTTTTAAAGAATGAAACATATTGTGTTTTCATGATTTTATCTATGTAGTTAAAATTCTACATATCTTATAAATTAATCAGCTGCAGATTTTAAATATAAAAGAATACATTTTACTGCTCATTGAATAAACTTTGAATCTATATATGCTGAATATTATAAACTAAAAGCTATGAAGTGGATATAGCTTTTTAGGTGATTTCTAAGAACATTTGAACTTTATGATTCTTTCATTTGCTGATCTTATAAGTAAAGATTTTGGTCTTAATGAACATTTGCTCACCATTACATTGGGTAAATGTCAGTTTAACTTTACAGAACACAATTTTCCATGCATATATAGACCTTATACCCGACAAACTGAGATATGGAGCATGCTGTGATTATATACATACCTTTGACAAAGCTCTTTTGATTCTCAAGCTTACCAATTACTTCTTAGAGGCATTTGTGGTGCTTGAGGTCATCTAAGAAAACAAAACCAATTGCTCTTCATTGTCAAATCCTCTTCTGCATTGTGTAACTGAACTAATCGATGAACATTAAGTACTCACTAAGAGTAATCATGAAGGATTTTGTAGAATTATGCCATAATGTTTCTGATTTATATTTCACATTTCTTTGTGTACTTTGTGGTTCATAAGAAGTGCAAATGATATTCTTTAGCAAAATAGCAGTTTAGGATGTACCTTGTGTTTGGTTTTGGAAATGCAAACTAAATGAACTTGCTTCCCTTTCCTAGAAGTGCTGCCTCTGTTGTGACACTGTGTTTCATTTTGTAACCCATCTGCTACATAGGCCAGATATGCATTTTCTGGATGCAATCTGTTGGTTTCCAATGGTTTACTACATGGTGGGCTCTATTGACAAGTAGGTGACAATGTCTATGGCACATGAGTAGTGTAGTGCCCTGTGGTCTGTCAAGTGCTGTGTCTTGGTCCTGCATGATGAGTGTACTTTGTCGTGTTGATACAGTAAATATGGTGACCCATGCTTGCAGAGCTCATGCCCCTGTGTTCTGCATCTTCTATCATACTGCCTAAGCCATAATTCATTGCTGAATTGCAACAGACATTGCTGCATGTCAAACTGGTCAGGTGCACACCATTTGAAGAGCTCTTTCTGTCTTATGTCTCTTGCAAAAGGAGCACTTTTTGCAGTAATATTATTGCTAAAGGCATCAAAAATGCTTTAAAAATTCCACATTTCAATGCAGTGAGACCATTACAATAACTTGAAATAAAAATAGTAAAAATAGCTTGACAAGTTATTCAAGCATATTTAGTAATTTATTATAATATAATTTCTAAATTGAAATTATGTAATGCATGTAATTATGTAATGCAGTAACATAAAACATAAATATACTCTGCTGTGACACCATTATTGAGAAAAGGTAAATTATCACCAGACAAATTACATGAAATAATATTGTAAAGTATTTACGCTAATAAAAAAGGAAACTTAGAGAATTAAGCTCCTAAGGAGGAGATGAACAAAGGTTGATTGATTTTAGACTTGTAAGTATTTAAGGTGGGTCACCATATCTATATGCACGTGTATATATTAGAGAGGGAATTATATATGAAGTGTCCATGTATAATTCTTGCTTGCGTTATTTGAAATTTCCATGCAATATAAAACCTATTTGGAACAAGAATACTTCCTCATACTTGCAAATTTCACATTCCAGTCCTTAGAAAAACTGAGTCATGGAAGGGTAAAAGAGGGACCCCTGGTTAGAGTATCTTCAGGGCTTATTTCTCTTGGATTGCTTTTCAGTGGCTGCCATCTGGTGGCTGAACTTTGTAAAGCAACCATGCTTAAAAATGATACACAGTCGAGCAGTAGCAGGGAGGGGAAAGATAGCCTAGAGTCATAAAAATACATTCATAGAATACTTGAGAAAAGTTAGGGTGTTAATTAGAAAAACTAAAGGTTTAATAGCATAGCAGTTCCAAATGTTTCACTAATAACATCTCAATTATTTTGTTATTTCTAAATTCTAACACAGAATTTAGTGATAATTTGCAGTCCTGAGTAACTACAACAGGAAATAGATTAAGGATGGAATCACAGATGCACCTGAGAACATGTAAAGTCAGAACAATCCCACTTAAGAAAATCTGTGTTCAACATTTGCATCAGTTTTGTGCAATTATTTATTCTTTGACTCAGCAAAACTGACTTCTTACAAATTTATATTCCCTTTTCCTATAAAATTCTAATTGAGAATTTTGATGGAGAAAAATCTTTTGAAGGCTGAAATATTAGGAGAGAAGTTGAAATCACTAGATGCTAGAAGCGAGTTGACTTAGTTATAATCATATTCTCCTTAAGGAGAAACAGCTTTTTCCAGTGATCAAGGGCTCTTAAACCAAGGAGTTACAAATGCTGATAAGCTCGTTAGTACTGGCCTAAACCCCCAGTTGCTGCCAGATGCTTTCTATAATATACTTTTATGATGCAATAATAATAAGTACAATGAATCTCCTACACTTAAAGTCGATCTATTATATTAGGGATTTAATCTTGAGGAACATTGTGTTGATTGAATGTTATGTTTCTGGGCTCTTTTCTCATGGTGAATTTATTTTAAATGAAATTCTGTTTTTACAGTTTTAGCTATAAAATCTCTGTCACAGAAAATAGCTCCAAATTTAAGCACAGTATTTGTCTCTCCTGCTGCCCTCCCTCATCCCTTCTGCCCGGCCTGCCACATACCTGAATTATTCCTGGAGGTCTTAGGCTTAGGCCTTGGTAATGCCACTGTGAGGTATATGGCTTTATGAACCAACCCTCTGCTTTAAAGTAATTTCTAGAAACAAACTTTAGTAACCATCGGTAGTGACTGTAGTTGTGTACATTTTATTGTTGCTATTTTAAATCAGGAGGTCTGGACTAATTTTCTTCTTATCTGTCTTCACTGAACCTTGTAACTGCTACATTCTTGTACGGGGTCAAGTATAGTCCCACCCGATTTTGTCCTGGTAATTTTTTTTAAGTCTGTATACAGCAAAGACAGTGAAACAGTTGCCCTCTTTCAGCCTCAATGGTAAACATCCTTTTTTTTTATGGAAAATGCTAGTCAAGAAATTTTACAGGGACAGGAAGAAAAACTGACTAGAATAGGTAATAAGTGCTTGAACCCTAGTTTTTCTAGTCACCTCAGGCAGACAAAAATATCTTTGGCCATTCAGTCCCTTACTAAATAGTTGTTCTAGCTTTATTTATCACAAATAGGTATACATATACATATATCCTACTCTCTAGTGTAGGAAGAATCTGTAGTATATAGATTTTAAATAAATAAATCTAGGCATTAAAAATACTTATACTTCTACATTAGCTTTGTTATCTGAATTAGCATAATCTTTACCCCTCTTATACTTTCACAAAAAGCTTTTTAGAATCTTTAACCAATTGTAATATTGTGTCCTTGAAGTGGTACACTAACTGTAATAATGAATTATCATTAACTTACTTTCTATTTTACTGTTTACATAGTAAGTGTTACTAAAAACAGATTCCAAACATGGGTGCTTTGAAACAGTTGGTATCTGCAGAATTCTGAATTTTGCATATCACCAGATCATATTATCTTATAATTCTCCTTAATGTCTGTCTGTGTTCTTGATAAATTCATCTATAAAGACAACACACATAAACCTAACGATAAACAAATATGAACAGTGATCATAGTATTGTGATTTATTTAAAATTGTATTCTTTTTTTTTCTTGTGGATTTTTATCAAAGCCTAGATGATTTGCTCAGGTGTGGCGTGACCTTTGCTGCCAACATGGTGGTTGTGGACAAGGAGAGCACCATGAGTGCTGAGGAAGACTACATGGCAGATGCCAAAACCATTGTGAACGTACAGACTCTTTTCAGGTATGTGTCTAAAGCCTAGCCCTTGTTTTCCATTTGTAAAGTATTTCATTCGGTCTTTACATGAAGAGTGACAGTGTGACATGAAGCCTGGACTCGGGTCCTTCCTTTAGTCATTTGATCATGAAGCAGATACTTATTTAGCACATACTGTGAAACTTCAGCATCATAGCTGCATTATTTCTCGTTTTGAAAAAAGAAATGTGTGACCTACTGAATTATTACAGTAATTCAAATCTTCTCAACACTTTCACCATTCTCTTCCCTTCACCAACATACCTTCATTGGTAGCAATGACAGTGGCATCCAAATATCTCTGTTTATAGGTTGAATTCAGAATTCACACGTAGTAACTTAGGTGTGAGTCCCAAATGCAGTCACATTTTGATCCGTGATTTTTCAGGACTTTCCTTCTCTAAACCTCAATATAGCACTTTCAAGACTACTTGTAACTTAAATATTTTAAAATATCATGATTTTGCTATCAAGATAAAAAAATATATTGTCTTAAAAAATTTGCCATTTTAATATATATTATTTAATATATAATATATATTAGACATTATTGCTATAACCATGAGTCATATAACTGCCAGGTTCTTGTGACAGAATAGAAAATTAGAAAACTTACCCTATTGTAGAGAGCCGCAAAGTCCATTTGGTACCATGTCCACCTAGAGCCTCTTCTGACATCACTAACTTTATGACCTAATGTCTTCCTAACCTAATTGAAATTTAGTTTCCCACAGCCATAAAATTCTGAGAAAATGAACCTTGAAATGGAAAAGTAACAACTAGCTATAAGATATGTAAAGAATCTATCATACTGCCACAGCCAGAAACATATACCCTGAATTTGCATAAGAAGTTTAGCTTGAGCAGGAAGAATATACACTGTAAAGTTCTTACAATGTGACAGAATGTGCAGAATACCACTAATATGGTTGTCTTGAATAGTGCTTTGAAAACTAATGTAAGATATTGAAAATATGATCTTTATCAGCAACTCATTACTTTAGAGAAATAAAGAAGAAATTAATTCAAACATGAGATCCATAGACAGTAAATAAAGTAAGAAAAAACATACTTTTTCCCCTTCCATGCTTTGCAAAAGGTAATTAGATCTTTCAGAGATGAAAGTTTCAAACTAAATGTGCTATTTTACTTCCAATGTCCTGTGTTTAATTCTGTCATGACAGAGTTAAGATTGATTTAATCTTTATTATCTTCTCTTTGAATAGATTATGTGGTTCCAAGACAATAATTCATCTTTGTCTTATTGGGACGTGTTAATTAATCACTTGAAGCTAACTGATCAAAGTTATTTAAAGAAGATATATTATAGACAACTGATACAAAATAGCCCTTCTCTGAGTACCTGGCTGATGAATGCAAATCTACATGCGTGCATGAATGAATGAATGAATGAATGAACGAACGAACAATGTAAGGTCTTTAAGGAGAGCACAATCATACACAAAGCGTTATAGCTAACTACGAATTCTAAGAACAGGAGAAACAGTCTTTTCCAGGAAAGAGTATACCAATTGGTTATCCGGTTCCAAATGGTCAGTCCTGAAACCATATTTGTACAAGTAACCTTATAGGGACTGAGAAGCTTATGTTAATATACTTAGGAATATATCTATTAACAATTAAAGTAATTAAGGTCATTGATTTGAAAGAGACCAACAGAGGGTATAGAGGAGGATTTAGATGTAGTGAAAAGAAGGGGGAAATGTTATCATTTTAATCCCAGCATAAAAAAAAAAATAAAAGTGTAGACTATTTTAGAAGTTGTATAATTTTTATGGCATTTAGAGTGAATAAATTCCAACAGAATTTTACAAGAACTGGTAAAAAAGTAATTTTAAATGGATTTCTTTTTTTTTCTTTTTCTGGGTTCTATAGAGACATAGTCATTATTTCAAAATATACATAACAATACTTTTCAGGGAAATTTTTTTCTGTTTTTAATTGACTTATAAACTGATAAGCCCATGTTAATAAAGATATCCTAGCCTTACATAATGAATATAAAGTATCTGTAGATTCCTACAGTGTAAGATATATCTCCATACAAATAAATGGCCAAGTTATGTAAGACTTAGCACATCGATTTTGTAGTATCAGTCCCTATTTCTTGGTCACTTTTCTGCATTGCTCACAGGGTTTAGTTTCCAGTTTAATGTGGATTATTGCCACCCTAAGTCTACTCTAAGATGGATGTACCAGTAATCCTATATAAACATTCCTTTCAATAGCTTAACCTCACTCTTAGTCAATATCGTGACCTTGAACTCTGAGTAGTTTTACCTTCTAAACTCTCAGTTTCTTCACTCAGTCTGACTTTGCTTTAACTTTCTATTTTTTTCTAACTCTTCTAAATCTTTATATTCCTTTAATTGCTCTGTATGCCATCAGCTGGCTCCCCTACTGTTTCACTCTTCCTAGTTGAGTGAGGGGTTTTCTTCTCTCTGTCCAGACTGAATTTCGGCCCCTCACTCCTTATGTTGGCTCAGACATCTTCACTAAGAAAGCTGCCAACTTGCAAAGTAAAATTATAATTTTTTCTTTCCCTCTTCTATTAATTTTTTTTCTAATATCAGACCAAATCCTAAATTCTCTTTAACTTCTCAGAATTCCGTGGTCACTCTGAAAACATCTTCCCCAACCCCCATGGTGCTGCCAATTGACAAATTTCTAAGCCTAGCCTGAGGACTTCAGTGATTCTGACAAAGAAAACCCAAAGAAGTTGGTCTTGTTAAATCTATCTTCTCATTCCCAGCTGCTGCTGAAATATCTTTTACCTGTCTGTTGTTTTACTTGCAAAAACTAATAAAATTGGCCTTCAATTAAACTCTGCAAATCTAAGAGCCAACACAAAGATTCCTGTGTTCTCCAGCAATACAAAGAGAAAGGGTATGAATCACTCACAGTGGCAGAGTATGAAAGCCAAATCAATCAGCAAATAGTCTGTTATCTACATCCCTCTGCTGGAGAAACTAGTTCAGAAAGGTTGAGTCAAACTGTGGTGATTAATGTTAGCCCAGGGGTTCTAGGGCCAAACCTCAGGCTGTAACAGCTTAACAGGCTAGGTTTGGACACTCATCCCTATATGCCAAGTAAGAGACAAGATGCTTAATTTGTTTCTGTTGTAATGAACGCCTTGTGCCAAAGCAATCTGGGCATTGGGGCACTTTGCTTCAGTTTAAAGGTTATAGTCTGTTTGTGCAGGCAGTAGGAAAGGAGCACAAGGCAGGACAATGAGGATCACTATCTCCTGGCTTGCTTTTTCCGGTTTGTCCAGTTGGCTGTCTTATACAAACAGGCCTACCTTCTGAGGAATGACACCCCCCAGAGTGAACAAGGCCTACATCAGTTAACAGTGAAGAAAATGCCTCACAGACCTGGTACGGGAGGAAATCACTCCTCTAGGGTTCCTTTATATCAAATGTGTCAGTGTGACAATGGAAACTACCTGTATGAACTGAGGAATGGTGAAAAGCAGAGAAAGGAGATTTAATCAAGTACACTGAATAATGTTGTGCCCAGATTACAACCCCCAGAGAGAGACCACCAGAGAGGCCCAGACTCTAATAAGCAAGGTTTAATCAGCATAATGCAAACATCTCCATCCTGGTTGTAGCGAGGTAGAGAAGAGTTATATCTCCTCTGTGGGGTAAGCTTTTAAAGGCATAACTACAAAGAGACTCTTTGAAGCTGCTTTGGCATGGGTGCAAGGACTTTTGCTCCCTCCCATTCTGCTAGTAAGCTTTTTCCTTGTTCTTAGAGCAAGACCACTGTTTCTGAGTTAGGTCATCTTTATCAGCCTGTACCAGGTGGCTGGCTGGGCTAAGCTAAGTGACCTTGTGCTGGGAATCTCCCCTGGGAGAGGGGAAGGCCACTATCTTCTTGGGAAAATATTCTGCTAGGAATTTTTTTTCACCCCTTTGAGAATAAGGGATTAGGGTCCTACAAATAAAACAATCAAAAGCAGGATCCAGTATTCCAAAGTTCATCTTCAGATCATCGTTGAGCCCTTTGAATTTAAAGAGACAAAGAAATGGGTCATGGGGCAAGAGATTTGAAGAATAGAGAAATCCTATCCAAGCTATGGTCCAATTCAACATTGTCTTAGCTTGGTCCCTATAAGATTGTCAGAAGTAGTTGTCTCTGTTGTCATAGCTTTAGTTGAGTAGAGCCGTTATAAAAATATGATCCTTCCTGCCCCAAGACATCCCTTGCCATCACAGACAAGTACCTTTCAGGGTGACTCAGAGAAATTTTGTGAGTCAGATTTCGGGCATAAAATTGCATATATGTCCACCATCAAGTAGTTAGGCTAAGAACTATCTCTATTTTTTTTTCTTTTTCTTTTTTTTTAAATTTATTTATTTATTTATTAAAGATTTCTGTCTCTTCCCCACCGCCGCCTCCCCTTTCCCTCCCCCTCCCCCAATCAAGTCCCCCTCCCTCGTCAGCCCAAAAAGCAATCAGGGTTCTCTGCCCTGTGGGAAGTCCAAGGACCACCCACCTCCATCCAGGTCTAGTAAGGTGAGCATCCACGAAACTGCCTAGGCTCCCACGAAACCAATAGGTCCAGTAGAATCAAAAACCCGTTGCCATTGTTCTTGAGGTCTCAGTAGTCCTCCTTGTCCGCTATGTTCAGCGAGACCGGTTTTGACCCAGGCTTTTTCAGACCCAGGCCAGCTGGCCTTGGTGAGTTCCCGATAGAACATCCCCATTGTCTCAGTGTATGGGTGCACCCCTCGCGGTCCTGAGTTCCTTGCTTGTGCTCTCTCTCCTTCTGCTCCTGATTTGGACCTTGAGATTTCAGTCCGGTGCTCCATTGTGGGTCTCTGTCTCTGTCTCCTTTCATCGCCTGATGAAGGTTAATATTCAGGAGGATGCCTATATGATTTTCTTTGGGTTCTCCTTCTTATTTAGCTTCTCTAAGAACCCGAATTATAGGCTCAATGTCCTTTATTTATGGCTAGAAA